TGTCTTACAATCACAAGAAGAACTGATTTTTTTTTAAAATTAGAAGCCTAAAATAAAATTAGCACAGAATTAGATAAAAGAAATTATCTGGAAACTTATAGCTAGGGTCCAGAAAACTATATAAAGAGCAGATAGGAGATAAAGCAAAGTAGATTATATTTCTTTCAGAAAGACAGTCTCTTCTGGGCTACAAATCTATCCGCAAGCCAACCTTCCAAGGCCTCTCCCAAGCTGGGGTGCTCTAAGGTACCATTTTATTGAAGGAAGCATTTTGACAGTCTCTTTCATCAGGAGTAACTCATGACTATATATGTAAAACTTCATCTTTTGCACCTAGATATAATTGGCCCTGGTCTGCTACCAACTTTCCAGGTTTAGAAGAAAAGGTAATGGATGAGAGCTGAGGAAATGCAGAGATATATACAGCTCTCCTTTAATAAGGAATAGAGAGCTACTTGAAGAGTTTCTGGGAACCATCCATTTGGGGCACCATAAGAGCAATAGTTTTGAAGGTTTGGAATGAAAAGAAAAAGTGTCAGTTCTCAAGAATGTTGCAGTTTGACGCTATTTACCAAATGGAGAGATCATGTGCTATAATTTGTATCTGCAGGGATTTTCCTCCCTGTATTTTAAACTGGACTTTGTGATGCACACTGTAATCCCACCACTCTGAGACAGAAGCATGAGGATTGCCGAGAGTTTGAGGCCAGCCTGGGCTACTTAGCAAGTATCAGATCTGCCAGAGCTACATAACAAGATTCTGTTTCTGAAACAAAGGACTGTGGAGATGGCTGAGTGCGTGTTGTACAAGCACAAAGATCTGAGTTCAGGGCCCCAGCACCCATGTAGAGCCCTGGCATTGTAGTATATGTTTGTAAGTCCAGTGCTGGAACCAGGAGTGGGGTAAACAGGAGGATCCTGGGGACTCACTGGTCAGCCAGTCTAACTGAATCTGTGAGCTCCAGAGTCAGTGAGAGATCTTGTTTCAAAAACTAAGGTGGAGAGCAACTGAGGGAAGACATCCAGTGTCAACCTCTAGCCTCCACACATTCTCACGAGGGCAAGTACACCCAGGCACATTCATCTATATTCCATACATTCACACAAAATAAACAACAAAAAAACAAAATAAATACCCCAAAAAACATGTAATTTATATCTGTGGGGATTTCCTTCCCTGTTTTGGATTCCAGTCTTATGAAGCCCATACTTTATGTCATATGGTTTTGTGACTCTTAAGAAGGTCCATGTCCAGTTTGTAAATGAGGTTAAGCCAACTTGCTTCAGGATATGCAGTCAAGGCAGAGGATTCAAGCTCACAGGTGATCTGATGTCTTGAGGACAACTTTATGATGCCTGCAGGTTTGGAAGAATTGTCACACCTCATTTTCCGTGACATACCTGTTTTTCAGTGTGACTTGAATAGAACCAACCCAACAGGAAACCAAAAAGTGTGCAAAATAATGTGTACCCAAATCCATCTACCGAGTTTTCCTCCTTCATCAAGGAGCCCCTCATTTGGAGCCTAGTGATATTTAGTGTTTCTATAAACCTAGTGCATTTGAAAAATGGCCTGACAAAGGGAGACTAGAAATAGAAACTTGAAAAAGGAGGGACATCAAAAGTGAGAGTGAGGAGGGTGGAAGGCTATTGTCACAAAATATCACCTGTATTCAAGGACCTGCCCAGGTGCATGGAGTTCTCTGGGCCAGGCTCCTGGGTAGCAGCACCGCAGAGTATGAAATGTGATCACCTTCATGTGCCTCACCTTTGATTCCTTGACAACCCTGAGAGGATAGGAGGTAGATTATAGTTTACAGATGAGAAATGTGGAATTTGCTGTGGCTAACAAACTTGCCTGTTCACACAAGCCAGGATGTTGCAGTAGTGTGCGTCAGACATGTGTCCCATAAATTCCCCAGCATCGTGGCTGTTGGGGGAAGAAGACGATAGTCATGAACTGTCCATAAGGGAGTGGCAAAGATGGAACAGGCAGCCTTTTGTAAGAGTATGTAACTGAGTTACCCTAAAATTCTGGGTTTAGGGGCTGGAGAGATGGCTTAGTAGTTAAGAGCATTGGCCGCTCTTGCACAGGACCTGGATTTGGTTTCCAGCTTGCACACAACTGTCTGTAACTCCAGTTTCAGGGCTCCAGTGCCCTTTTATGCCCTCTGCAGGCATTACATGCACAAGTACACTTACACACATGCAGGTGAACCACTCATACACGTAAAATTTAAAATTTTTTTTAATTATGTATTTGGGGGTGTGGCAGTAGTTTTTTACCCCCCAAATAAGGATATTTTTTGTATGCCTTGTATTGTGGTCCTCAGAGTGTAGGTTATGGGTTGCCAGCCTCAGCATCTCTGGGAACTTGTTTGAAATATAAATTCTCAGGCTTTACCTCTCCCTTACTGCATCAGAATCACTGGCGCGGGTCCCAGTGATCTGGATTTACCAAGACTTCCCTGTGCTGGTGCAGCTAGACCATCTGTTTATGGGATGCAGGTTTCTGCCTTGCTGTTTGCTCTGTGGGCAATGGTCAGGGCGCTGCACTGCTTTGTTCCTGCCTATGTGAGGCTTTGTGGCTTGGGCAAATGGGCCGGCCTCTCTGTTTTCTCATCTATGAGGTACGTGTGTGTTTCCTCTACATGACATACTGAATAAGTGTAAAGCATAACCATGTCTGGCACCTGAAAGGTGTTTAAAAAAATATTTGTACATCTCAACTTGACACCTGGAAAGCCCATTGTTGGTCTCTGAGGGACCCGCATTGAAGTGTAGTAGCTTGGGCTAAGAGAAGTGCAGCATTAGCCCCCTGCTTATCTCTGCATGAGTGAGCCTGGCCTGAGCAGGCTCAATCAGGAAACAAAAGGAAGTTAAGGGATTTATAGAAATAGGGGTTGCCTTACTTCTATGAGTAAAATCCAGCCTGTGAGCTAGAAATGGTTTTTACATGTTTAAATGGTTGAGAGAAAAATGTAAAGAATGATATTGTATGACACATGAAAATGATATGAAATTCAAATTTTAGTGCCTATCACTAAGAGTGTTTTGGAGCACAACTCGTTTCGGGGCTGTCTATGCCTCCTCCTGAGCTATAGTGCAGTCCTATGCAGCTCCACTGTACCTCATTTGAAGTGCTTGGGATCAGAAGGATTTCAGATTTCAGATTGTTTTCTTTCAGATTTTGGAATGTTTGCCTATAAATATCTTATGGATAGCTTCTGGAAGAGACCCAGGCCTCAACATTAAATACATTTATGTTTCTCATACACATCATACATGTAGCCTGAAGGTAATTTCATGCAGTATTTTTCATGCACCTGCATTTTGATTATGATCTTTCATATAAAGCTAAGTGTGGAATTTTCTTTGTTTGTTTTTTGAGACTGGGTCTCCTTGTAGCCCCAGCTGGCCTGGAGCTCTATAGAGACCAGGCTAGCCCTGATCTCACAGAGAGCCACCTGCCTCTGCCTCCTGGGTGCTGGGATTAAGGGTGTATGCTACCACACTTGACTGGAATTTTCTTCTTTTATTTTATTACATTTATTTATTTGTTTGTGATGACCTTGCCTTGGCATACATGCGGAGGTCAAGGAGCTGGTTTTTTCCTTCCACCATCTGGGTTCTGGGGATTGAACTCAGTTTGTCAATCTTGGTGGTAGGCACCTTTACTCTCTGTGCCATGTCACTAGCCTGAGGATGTAGAATTTTTTTGCTTGTGGTAACATGTTGGTGCTTGAAGAACTTCAGATTTTGTAACATTACAGATTTATGAATTGGAGATGCTTACTCTATAGTCTGACTGAGACCATATGACCTACAAGTAGCCTGAAATACCTCTGGCCCTTTCCAGAAAAAAAAAATTGTAAACTCCAGGAATAGATGGAATGTACAGATAAGAGAGGACGCAGAAGATGGCAATAAATAGCAAACATTCATTGATCTTTGCCAGGGTTCTGTCCCAAGCTTTTCACAGCTGTATGCCATTTAACCTTTATAACACTAGCAAAGGAGGCATAGCTTATTAACCCCATTGTTCAGATGGGCAAACTGAGGCTCATACCTTGCTCAGAGTCACAGAGCCATGTGGAGCTAAAAGTTGAATTGAGGGTTAGGTGTCTTTCAACTAAGCATGTAATGTCTGTGTGTTACTGGTGTGTGGTGCGAGGTGAGCGAAGTTAGGAAAGTGTAGGGACTCTGAAACAGTGCAGGAAAACTGGGAAGTCTGAAGGAAAGAAGATTCCACTGCAGTAAGATGAGTCCTGAGGAAGGGTGATTTGATTTTGTAGGCTTTTTTTCCTTGCTCTCTCTTTTGGTAGAGACCAGAAGAGGGCATCAGATCCCTCTGAGCTGGAGTTCTAAGCATTTGTGGCATGCCCACCTTGTTATGTGGGTACTGGGATACAAACTCTGGTCCTCGTGATTGCTCGGCAAGCCCTCTTAACTGCTGAGCCACGTCTTCAGCTCAGATTTTGATGTTTTTGTGTCTCATTTAATACGAAGAAGGCAGGTCAGGGACCAAAAAAAAAGTGCTTTTGAGGCTTCAGTCTTGTTCTACCACTAGTGTGGCAATACCAGCCCTAGTAAAAGGCTCTAGCCACTTCTTTACTGGGCCCATTAATTAACTCATCCTGCTAATGAAGAGCAGTCATTCTGAGCCTACAGCAGGCTTGGGGACGGGAATGAGAATGAACAAGGACTGGGCAGTAGAGAGTTCTGTTGCCTTTCAGTCTGTAAAGTAAGAATGTCAAGGGACAATTGTTTCTTCATTCCTGTGAATGTAGCCTTGTGTTCTCAAAGGTCAGTGCCTGTGAGCACATCACGGTTTTGAGTGGGTTCCTATGGTAATCAGGCCATCGTGACTGAGGGCGTTTTGTGTCAGACAAGGGCTGCTGATTTTCATTCGTCTCTAGCTCATACTTGCTTCCCGTAAATATAATCATTTCTGTTTTTCCCCCTTTCTTTTTGTTTTCATCCTTTTTGCCCCTGCACAGGTCTGGAGCCAGAGAACTCTTCAGCAGGTATGGTTTCTATTGTATTCTCACTGTCCATGCCTTGCAGCACTAGGGATACCTGAATTAGAGGGAAGCCCTGGGGCATTCCCTGTGAGTGAAGGGTGTTTGTTTTCATTTCTCCTGTCTCAGCTGAGTGGAGACCCTCTTCCAGTGCTGATACCAATGGGAATGCCCAACCCTCCCCACTTGCTGCCAAGGGCTACAGAAGTGTGCACCCCAGCCTTCCTGCTGACAAGCCCCAGGTAGGCGTGTGCCCATGGGCGGGGTGGGAGCTGGTCAGTGTTGCCTGTTCAAAAGTTTTACAGCCCAAACTTGTGACATCCCGCTTGTCCAGTTGGATCATAGAATAGGGGTCTAACATTTGGTCAGCTCCAGAATAGCTCTGTTAGGAGAGTCGAAATCAAGGGGATCAAAGGTATGGGATAAGGTTGGTCTTCATGGAATGTTAGAAATAGGCCTGCTGTTTTCTAGGCTCGATATATATGTGGACATGTACTAAAAGAGGCATTTCATTTAGCCTTGAATAAGTTAACATCAGAGCTTGCTTTTTAAGAAAGTCTTTAGAGCATAGTACTTAGAAGAGTCCCTCTGGTTTATTCTGTTGACTCTCGAAGTTGGGACTGTAAGAGTTTGAGCAACTGTATCCTCACAGATTAGGTTCAAGTAACTGTGGCCAGACCATAAATCTAGCAGCCCAAGAGCCTGAATGTAGAAATCACAATTGCAGTACAGACTGACTTTGTAGCCTAGCTCTGCTTTGCAGAGGAAACTGTCCATCCACAGCCAACCACCCTGAATGCACATGATCACACATGATTTCAGAAACTAAGCAGGGTTTGACCTGTTTAGTGCTTGGGTGGGAGAAAATCCCCCAAATCTGTACAGCCTGGGGTAGGGATCATTTCACTTAGGTCATTCCCTCTAGGTGCTTTTCTACCATCTTTCTTTTCCTCCCTATAGATACTTTGCCACTTTAATGAAAGGAACAGACACTGTTATAATTCAGGCAATATGTGAAGAATGTTTTTATAAACAGGAGCCACTACATGGAATAGAGCCATCTTCCTTATATGAGGTAGTGTGGCTTAGATGATGCCCAGTGTGGTACATGTTCCTGTGAGTTCCTCTGAAGGTGCTCCCAGAGCACAACAAGGAAATCAGACGGTGCTTTCCTTCTGTGCAGACCTGTCTCTCTTTCTTGGTCTTCAGTTGGTTCCTTGTCTGCCTTATTGCTGAGCAGCACCAGTGCCTTTCTGCCTCCTACTATTTCTCTCACCAGGTTCAACCATGTGCACCCAGGGTCACTTATTAGAGCCAGGAACTGTGGATGTTCCTGGCCTCCTGAAGTCTTCACTAGACATTAGGATTTGGGGGTCACTTGTCTGTGAAATGACTTGGCTGAGTTTTCCCATTTCTGAGTGCTTTCTGAGTATATAATGTGCTGTCAGCCTCCAAAGTACATCTTTCTCAGCTGTCCCGGGGATGGATTCTGTCAGGTCTGTCCAGCGGAGAGCACAGTGCTGATCCAGTCAAAGCAGACATGAGAACACAACCCTCTTCCATCATCAGTAACCTGGCCCAAAGACTAACTTGGTAATTCCTTTTGGCCTTGTGAATACCTCTTCTCAAGAGATCATTTTAAAAGCATGGGGCTGGGGGTAGGGCTGTATTTCTGGGGTAAAACAATTGCCAAGTGTGTACAAGACCCAAGTTTCATTCCTCAGCACCACAAAAATAAATAAATAAAATTATAATTTAAAAAAAGTTGTAGAAAGTCAAGACAAACTTTATTGTGCACTTGGTATGCTCAGGTCACTGTGCTGAAATCATGCCCTCAAGGAGTTTATAAGGAAAAGCTCTATGATAAGGTTCTCCATCAGCAGCATGATTTCTTATCTATTAATCAACTTTCTACTTCCTGGGCTTTCTTCAGGGACCATGGCAAATGGCTGACACAGGAATTTTGTTCTACACATTCAATGTAAGATTTGCCATCTGAATTTCAAGACTTTGTATGTCCTGTATTAGTTTGTAGATTTATTTTCTGAATGCAAACCCAAACTCTTAGCTGTATTGGGTTATAATTACATACTGGCTTAAAAAAGCCAAGGTGGGCTGGGCTGGGCACAGTCTTGCCTTAGTTCCAGCTGCATAGAGTTCATGGGTCTGCAGGCAGACTATCTTCTCTTAAGAACTGAGTTGGGGTCCAGGAGACTGGCAGCCTAGGTGGGAATTCTGTGTTCTGCCTGTATGGGTCTAGTGCCCGCCTTTCCTCAGGACCAGGAAACTAGAGTCCCTCTCTGTGATGTCATCCTCAGAATAGTGGTCCCAGGAAAGATGAAGCTTGCTAGTCTTGGCTGGCCTGGAACTTACTATGTAGACCAGGCTAGCCTACATAGGAACTCATAGAGATCCTCCTGCCTCTGCCTCCCTAGTGCTGTGATTAAAGGCATGTGCTACCACATTGGACTGTATACCACATTTTCAAGAAGTCTTTTTCCCCCCGTAGACCCACCTTCTAAAAAGATAAGTGGGGGGCTGGAGAGATGACTCAGTGGTTAAGAGCACTGATTACTCTTGCAGGGGACCCGGGTTTGATTCTCAGCACCCACACGGTGGCTAACAACTGTCCATAACTCCAGTTCCAGGGCATCCAACATTCTCTTTTGACCTCTGTGGGCATTGCAGGACACAGGGGCACCTACCTACATGCAAGCAATACACTCACACTTATAAGATAAAAATAATAAAATATTTTAAAATATAAGTATAATTTCATTAGTAGTCACGTGGCCAGGATAAGTACTGTGTGCTTGCTGCGGTATTTACAATAAAGGAAAAAGTAGCTCCTTCATATAGGAGGCCTGGCCCCCTCCTTCTTTAGATTTAAAAGAAGCCCCAGGACAGGAAGTCCTTTGACCCTGTGTGCATTGTGGGCACTCTGGGGAAGTGTCCTCTCCATAAGGTCACAACCTTAGGAGGGCTCATGCCTGATGTCATGCAGCTCTGGTACCATATATGGCCATGACTGAGTTAAGTTAAAAACTCATTGAAACTGATTTCTATCTTTGGACAAGGATAAATCCTGTGCAGGACACGAAGAGCAAAGTAAAAGTAAATCTAAGCCCAGATCATGGATTTTTGCTTGCCTCTCAGCAGCCCTGTCAGCTTTCTCCGCAGTCCCTCAGGTGGGAGCTAGTCCAATTGTTTTGTTTCTGGAGAGCATCAGTTAGGCAGTAAACATGTCCCAGCATTCAGTCCAAGTTCATCAAACCAAAGAAGCTCATGTAATCGTCTTTGCTGTAGACCAGAGGGGCGATTTGTTTTGGATTTGGGGCTGGAATAAATGGCCACATTCCACTGGCACCATTGTGGGTGCACTGTGGACAGGACAGGAATCCAGTTAAATAGCTGCTTCTCCACCCAGACTATTTGTAACTTGAAACCTGTGTCTAAGGTATAAATTATTTACTGTTTCTGGGATGATAATCTAATTCAGAGTTGTTAAGCTTTTTTAAAATTTCTCACGTATTTGCCTTTTCTGATGTCTCCTCCCTTCCCCATGTCCTCTACAAATTATAAAAATAAAATGAAAACCAGCCCCAATATAGACCTTGTATATGTGTGTGTATGTTGCATGCATGTAAGTGTGCAGGTGTGTGTACCTGTGTGTATATGCAAAGGCTAGAGGAGGATGGTAGACATCTTCCTCTTATTGCTCTGTGCCTTCTTCTCTAAGATAGGATCTCTCACTGAACTGAAAGCTCACCATTTCAGCTAGGCTGGTTAACCAGTGAGTTCTTGGGATCCCCCTCTCTCTGTCTCACATCGTTGAGGTTATATAGCATGCCCAGCTTTTACATGGATGCTGAGGATTCAAATTCAGGTACTCATGCTTGCCTAGCAAGCACTCTTACCCACAGAGCCTCCCCAGCCTCTTTGTAGTTTTTGCTAGATGTTTACCAAGCTGTAATATCTCTCACATGTGCAATGTGAAGGAAAGTTCTAGTTTTCTTCTAACGATGAAATCTATGAACATCAAAGGCTAGCAAGAAAAGTTTGGGAACTTGAGTTCTCCTTTCCTTGAAGTCTAGTTCCTGGATGGGCTGCAGGTTGACCAGGGAGGACTGCTCCATAGAGCCAGCCTGTCTCCTGTCCTTCCACCCCACTGAAATCCACAGGAGAGTACTATGGAGGGGAGAGGGAAAGTGTGAACTTTAGCTCTGTAGCTCTGAACCTATGACTAGAGGTTGATTCTTAAGCTGTGCCTGAACCTGATCACTCAGCTGTAGGACTGGTTCTCTGGGCATGGTGGTGGGCTGGCTGGGACCAGAATTGAATAAACCAGGCATAGTACAATCCTGTAAGCCAACTATGTGCTACATGGTTTGGTTCCTTTTATTTGTGTGCATTGAAATGGGAGACTATGTGCTTTTAATGTCATGACTGTCTCCCATCCCCCCATTTTTGTGGTGCCAGGGAACCTCATACATGCCAGGCAAACACTGTACTCCTGAGCTATGTACCTAGCCACTTTCTGTCAGATTTCCTTTGAGAAAAGGGACACAGGTGAATTCAAAGTCTTTAGCACCCTCCTTAGTGAGCTATGTTATGCTTCTGGAATTGAAAGCTGAACCAGGGACTCAGTGAAGATATCTGTCCCTGTGAACACAAATATGGTAAGGCCTTCCAATTCTCCTAAGGGAAAAGAATGAAAGTATCTTTTTTAAAAAGCCTAGTGAACTTAAACTTTTAAAGCTAAAGGCTTCAATTGGAGTCTGAGGAAGGGTGGTTGGAGAGGAAAGAGGGCTCTGGGGCTTCGCCCACTGGTGGATGAGTTCTTGAGTCAGGAGATCAATAAAGATGCAGCCAAACAGGCATTGGTGTGAGTTGGCTGGGCCTGTTCTGGTCATGGCTTGGCTTCCCTGGAATGTGAGTCAGGCCAGCCCTGCAGGTGAGTGTGAGTCAGTCCTTGGCAGTATCCAGAGGACATCTGTGGGCACTATGAGGATCTGTTTTAAAATGTGTCAGGAGTTGTTTTGTCTTTTACCATGCTGTGCTATTGTTTCTAATGGTCCTCCTTCTTTCCCTCTCTCCCCTCTATCTTCTCTTCCTCTGTTTTGATATCATGTCTTGGAAAATACTACTAAAGGTTCTGTCTCCCCAACACCCTCCTTTTCCTCAAGAGGACCGCTTTGCATGGCAGCCCCCCACCATCCACAGTAACTACAAGGGTTCCCTCTACATGAGCTCACCAAAGCCTTATAGCCCACCCAGCATACCCAGCCAGCAGAAGCCCTCACAACCACAGCCCATCTCTGTCCCCCTGTCAGCTAAATTGGCTCCCAAAGATGCAGTGTGTTCCCGTCCCTTGCTTCTGGGGTCCATGGTCCTAAGTGCTTCACCCCAACCCCAGCAGCTCTATGTAGCCACCAGGTTAGTGTATAGTAAGAATGTGAGCTCTAACCCACATCACGAGGTCATTGTGAATAAAAGGGTCAGCAGCTTATATGTACCTTGTTTATCCAATAACATTTGCCGGGCAGCATCAGAAAGCTACTCTCCTGTTGCACGTAACTCGGCAAAAGACACTCCCTCGGAGGCTGCAGGCACCCAGGCACCAGCTCCCAGCCTTGTCCCCTGCACAGCCACAGCCAGCACAGGAAAACCACCCCTTGCTCCTCCTCCTGACCCTCCCAAGCTATCCTTTGACAAAGATAAAGATGACGGTAACCGTGGTGAGAGCCCCACGTTGGGGACATGGGCTTCATTCCCAGATGCAGTGAGGCCTCCTGTGCTAGGCCCCCAGGTTACCTCTGATCCTGACAACCAGAAGAGCAGAGAATCTTACCTTTTGCAGCCGTGTTATCCAGCCAAGGCAAGAAACTAGGAATGTTTGTGTGTCTTCTACACTGTCTCTTTCAAGACCAGTTGGAGCAGCTCATTTGTACTTTGGGCTGCCCTACCTTTCCTCTCCTCATTAATGCTGCTGCGCTAGAATCCCTAATTCTTCTCTCTAAACCTCTCGGCACAGATCCCTCTCTGTCTGCCTTTCTCTTGTCTGTAAATATGTCAGTATGCTGGAGCGTGGGATTCATAGACTAATAATGTGCTGAGATACAGTATTTATATTTTATGACAAGGTGCTAAAGAAACTGTATTTACTCCCAAGCTTACTGGTGTTGTGGCAGTTTTGTGTGGTTAAACACTGCCTGCCCACCTGTTCTGTTGTCCTCTCTGTCCTAAAGTGTTAAAAGGGTTCAAAAATAGATGGATGGAAAGTGAACTTGGATGAGACGCCCTCTGTGGCATGGAGTATCAGGAGGCCAGCTGGCTAGCACCGACTGTCTCATGTACTCGGAGGAAAGGGCACCGATTAAATATTTCTCAAAGTGCATCACTGCATGTCCATGCGCGACTGTTTAAATATGGAATTCCTGCCTCCCTGCCGTGCCGCTTTGCATAACGACCCCCTTATTTCCCACAGGATGCCATCTCTTCCAGCCCAGCCCCGTCTGAGGTAATAGTTGTCCCTCTCTACCTGGTTAATACTGACAGAGGGCAAGAAGGCACTGCCAGACCTCCAGCATCTCTGGGGCCGCTTGGCTGCGTCCACTCTATTCCGGCGACCGCCCCTGCTGCTTCACCTCTGACCTTCCTGACTCTAGATGATTTCATTCCCCCTCATCTGCAGAGGCGGCCCCACCACAGCCAACCAGCCAGTGCTTGTGGCTCCCTCCCCCCTGCTAGCCAGACACCACCATCCTTCTCACCACCACCTCCGCTGGTCCCTCCCATCCCGGAGGACCTCCACAGAGTCTTGGAGCCTGACCTCCCGGGAGCTGTCTCGAGTACCGTAAGCTTGCTGAACTTTCCTCCCCACAGCTTTCCTCAGTGTCTGCTCCTGGCAGGAAAACCCTCCCTTTCTCACTGAAGTTCTAAGTTCTGAGGAGGTATTGGCTGTCATTGTGCTTGTGCGATGACTGGACCTGTGTTTGCTGTCCCTCGATTGCATGCCTCCTGTGCACATCCTGGGGGCCGCCTGAGGCTGCTCAGGAGTCTTTCAAGTGCCTTCTCTTCTCTGTTCTGTTGGGATTGCACACCTTCTTGAAAGAGCTTTGTCTTCCCTCTGAGAAAATATCTGTGGCCTTTACCTTGCTTAGTCCTGATCTTTGTAGACCAGGCAAATGTAATTCTGAAAGCCGGGGAAAATGTAGGACCCCGTGGGAAGCAAAGACAGGTATGTGTAACAAGGGAGCAGGGAGGTTGTTGGGGAAGAGAAGGTTCGCTCTGGTTGATTTCAAGTAAACAAACTCTCTTTTGTACCAGACAGAGAGACTGAAGTAAAAATAGTGAATCTGGCTTAATTGTGTTGGTGACTCAGAATACCTGTGTGGTAGGACTTTCTCACAAGGCATGTAATTGCTAGGGCCCTTGAGGAGGAGGCCACAGTGGCTTTTGTGGCAAACTTGCACACCAGTTGTCATGGGAGGGTCCTGATTCTTCAGGGCAAGTCCCTTCACAGGAAGCCCAACTGCCTTAGGGTTTAGAAAGCTGAGCCATTAGATGTGGGTCTCCTTCTTAGGAACCCAGATTGGGAGAATCTGAATGAACCTTACCATAAGCTGTGGTAGTGACGGTTCTCACATGGCTGAAAAGTTCCCATGATGATGCTTGGCATAGGGGAAGTGCCTGATAACTGTTTCGCTGCATTGCTGAGGACTTGCCCTAGAAAATGAGGAGTTAGAAGTAACTGATTAGTTAGCAGTGACAGTCCTACTGTGTTCTGAGCAATCTCTTAGGTTTCACAGGTACACTTTTGAACAAGCCAGAGCCCCTGCTCTCAGTGATTTGGGGAGGGGGAGGTGTGGTATATTAGTACTCATGTAATCATGAGTGCTTATAGGATCATTTGAGGGCCTGAGAAGTCTAGTTTATACATCAAGAATTTTTATTGAAGCCAGGCATGGTGGTACACACCTTTAGTTCTAGCACTCTGGAGGTAGCAGCAGGTCGATCTCTGTGAGCTTGAGGTCTATATAACGAGTGCCAGGCCAGCTAGGACTACAGGGAGACCCTGTCTCACAAAGACCAAAAATAAAAACAAAACAAAAAACCCCACAAAAAAAAACAAAGAATTTTTTGATTGAGTGGGTCTGGGTCTCTTAGTTCATTGCAGGTAGCCAAGAGGTTTTGATGTTGAGGGTGTAGACACTAACTTGAAGCACAGTGAGATGGTGTGGCATGCATTTGGCTGATAGAACTAAACATTCGCTAGCATCCCCTCGTGGGAAGAAGTATACCTATAAAAGTGGTCCGGGTGGCTTGTTAAACTGAAGCCAGTCAGGCAGAGAACAGGACGGAAACTTCTTATTTGGCTTAGTAGAGAAATTGTAATGAGGTGTCAGGTACCCCAAAGGTGGGAACTGTTGCAACCTTGGCAGGGCCCCTTGCCCAGGACCAGGCCAGATGTAACTGGTTTGGATCGCCTACTCTGAGCTTTGGAGCTTATGCCTGCTGGAGGATGTACTCCACCTACCCCAAGCTTAAACCCCTGGGTGAATTAGAAGACATTCTGGTTTTGAGTGTTCAGATATCTTGCCGTAGGCATACAATATGTTTCTCTGAGCAACAAATGTAGAGTGAATCTTCTCTCTAGTGCACTTGTATGCCATAGTTTTGTTGTATACCCTATAGTTGAGCATTTGTGTAGTAGCTCTATGTTTGCATATTGAGTTTGTTCCTTGTGTTCCAGGACAAATTAATTGGGACGATGTACTCAATTTCCCCAGAGGCTTGTCCTGGAATAGATGTCTCAGAAGTAGTTTTCCTGGTAACTTCTAGTTTGACTTCAGTTAACAGAGTAAGAGGTGAAAAGAAGGCTGCTTGGGCTTGCCCTCTGAATGCCCCTGCAGATGGTGTCCAGGCCGTGAGCTGATACCTGCTCCATCTGCAGCTACTTGAGAATCAGAGGGAGGAATAAAAGTCATGTTCATTCCTCCAGCTCCATTTTTGTTAGCAGCTTTTTTTTGTGTGTGTAATGTTTCAGAAATAAGAGAAAAAATTGTGAAATGCTTAATAGTCACACAGTTCACCAGAGACCACATTGGGCATTTATGCTTTAAAGAGCTGTGTGTCTGATGGTGTGTTGCTTGGGCATACACTGGCAACATTTTTAATATGTCACTTCTGTTTTATTAAGTGATGGTAGAGATAAATTATACAAAGTGTAGTTAGAACCTATTTCATAAATGGAAGCATTGGGATGAGGCACTATGTATAACCCCTCAAGTCTTGGAAAAAGTTTTTGCTTATGAAATTGAGCTTATAACAGTAGTGGCTCTACAGAGAGAATTTCTGGATGAGATCCTAACTGAAGTATTATTGGCAGAGCACCTACTATGTGTCCCGGAGCTGTCCGGGGTGCTTGATATCAGCGCTTCTTTCTTCTAATGAACATGTGTTCTCTTGCCACAAAGGTAGCAGAGACATACCCTTGCTGGTGGAGGGTTCCTGTCACTTCCATTTTGTTTCTTGAGCACCTGTTAATCTGCAGGGCATTGTTCTGGGTAGAGACAGAAAAAGAGAAGGCGTGGCCCTTGTTCTGCAGGTGCATGCATAGTAGCTGATCTCTAAGCATAGTAATTGCTTCAAAAGTAGCTATCAAATCTTGTTCTTAAAAAACCCTTTAAGAATGTTATTCTGCTAGGCATGATGGATGGATCATGCCTTTAATCCCAGATCTCAGGAGGTGGGGGCAGGCAGATCTCTATGAGTTCAAGGCTAGCCTGGTTTACATAGTGAGTTCCAGGCCAGCCAGGGCTACCTGGGTCTTGGGATATAGCTCAGTATTAGGGTGCTTATTCAGTCCCCTGTGTCGGGGGGTAGTGGTGGAGATTGCTACCTTTGCTTTAAGGTTTGTAAATTCTAAAATAAAAACTGTGGAATCTGTAGATGTGTTGGAGAAAACTGTTTAAGACAATCACTGCTATATTTCAGGGTCCTGTTTTTCATTTGTTTCCAAAGCCTGGCATTGTCCCCATCATGCAGAAGTTAATAGCCTTAGTAATTGTATTGACATTTCTGGAGGGGGATCTCAGGTTTTTAAAGTCAGGATTTTCCCAAGTGTGTTTGGGGGATCTTTGTCATTCTAATAATAGTGTGAAAAAAATGTCACAGCAAGATAGGATCAGATTCAGATCTCAGGAGCAAATGCTAGTAAGTTTGCTCAGTGATTCTGATGTTCAGAGTAACTTTCCTAGAGAATTATTACTGAACTTCTCTTTGTTCTTACAACGATGACTTCTCTAACATCTCTCTGCAGTGCCTAAACTCCCCTGAGTTTTCCCACTTATGCCAGCTCGTTCTCGGATCGCATTCAGAATTGCATGAGTTTGCATGTTACTCTGTTTTGATTTGAATTTGCTTTTTCAGTAACCAGATTGACCCACAACTGTTCTCAGGTGAAAATAATGGATGATGCTGAGATTTAGCAGCATTTACCTTCCCTCTCTTGTCCCTTACTAATGCCAACAAGAAGAATAAGCCTCCAGATTAAACTCTAGCTGGAATCGATATGTCTTATTGGTTACCTTTCCTTTTATAATTAAGGTCTTTGTAGAGATATTTCTTTTCCTTAAGTTTTAACTCTAGATTTCTTGTATTTAAACTTATTTTTTTAATGTATGTTTTCTTTTCAGGGCAGTCCTCTACTAAATGAAGTTTCTTCTTCCCAGATTGAGACTGATTCCCACACCTTTCCTGCTAGCAAGCCATCGTCTGCGTACCCCTCCACCACAATCGTCAACCCCACCATTGTGCTTTTGCAGCACAATCGAGGTAAGGCAGCGTCTTGCAGCTGGGTGGAGTCAGCACATCCAGTCCGTCATTCTTGGAGCAAGAATACTGCCATTCCACAAAAGTTTTTACAAACCCTGCCCAAGGCCATCAGCTCCACTTTCCTCCCTCTTAGGACTCACAAGATCAGTCCTAGCAGGGAGACAGAAGCCCCTGATTTAGAGTGATGTCAGGTGTCTGCTTAAGTAAGCTGGGCTACTTTAAGTGCATGTAGCATAGCTTGGGTGTTCATGGCTGTCTGTAGACAGTTAATACAGGCACAAAATAGGAAACGTTCACGTCCCTTAGTTCTTGTGATTTATAGTGAGGCTTTGCTTAAATATCTAGGTATAATACCTCTTTTAAGGAATGTCATAAATGACTTACTTGTTCAACGTGATAAATTTCTAGAAAGTGCAGTTTTGAGTACCAGATTTCAAAAAAAAAGGAAGATTAACTAGAGAACTGTCTAAAATGTAAAGGATGTTTTTAAACCTCTGCAACAGAAGCTGCCATACTTTCTCCTGGTGGCGGGACAGCCCTCTTCTTACAGAGACACCGTGCTAGGTTGTCCTCTGTGGCTGAGGTTTGTGGCTGTTTGTACCCACTCCACATGGCCCAGACAGCTCTGCTGTGTTTGGTTCCTGTAGTTTCTCTGGCTGTTCTAGTTGGTTCTGCTGCATCACTGAAAGGGCCAAGAGCTTTGAAATAACGACTGTATATGTTGTCCTTTCTGCTTTAAAATTCCAGGCCATGATTCCAAACCCCAAGTTTTCCTTTTGAAATTCCATAGAGTAATAAACTTTCCATTTTTAAAAAGTCCTTTGCAGCATGAAATGGGATGTTTGCAGTCTGCTCCTCGATGTGAGGAGGGTTTTTCAGTATAAACTCAAAGAATAGTGAAGGTCTGTGTATTCTTTTTGACGCTCAACATTTGGTTCCAGCTCTTCTCGATACCCTCCTCACCTACTTCATAGTTTCCTCCCCTTCCCTGCCTCTCCCTTTCTGCATTATTACTTTGGAGAAGATGAGGCTGGAATCTACTTCTAATTGTTTCCCATACCAAATAGAGCTTTTTGTTTCCTGCTTCTAACTGGAACAGTAGATGACAAAACATTTTTCTCTTAAAATATGTCCACTCAAATAGTAGTTGCTTTAGTGAGTTCCTTTTTTTGCACTCTGTGTGGCCCCCATATTATTTAACATTCAGGAATCTGTTCTTCAAAAGAATGAAAGGGTCCTGTGCCCACACTGAACTTAGAAGTGCCCATTCTTTTTCTAACCATGCCGTCCCCTTCCTAGCAGCAGCTCTCTTTGCCCAGACCGTGTCTGTAATGCAGAACAAAGCAAAATGTTGGTTCTCTATGAACTTCTTGATGACTCATTAAAAAAAATTAAGTCTGGTCAGGCAGAAGCAAGTTAATTCCCAGAAGAAGAGGCAGTTTCTTAAAAGTGGAGTTTACTTCCAAGGCAACTTGATTTCTGGAAAATGCCAAGTGTAATGTCAGCTGCTTTTGCCAAGTCCCTTTGATGACACCTGGAGAGGCATTTTCAGGCACTAGAATGCCTGTGGTTCCTCTTTGTTTCTTGAATAAGTGAATTCTTATTTACCAATGAGAACTTTTAGTTCTTGCCTTTTTCTTTTGACTGAGTCCTGCCTTTGGGTTTAAAAATTAGAGTTATCCAGCCTGAGATACATCCTTCAGAAAAGGACAGGAGTCATGAAGCTAGGAGGATTTGGGGGGAGTTAAATGGTGGTTTCCCATGAAGAGGGAAAAAAAAAAAACCAAAAACCCAAAAACCTGTGTTCGTTTAAGATAGGGCAGGAAGAGTGGAGGAGAGAAGAGCCTGGTCATAAGGGGGTTTAGGTCAGATATTTCAGCATTGCTTTGGAATGTACCCAGACTGGCAACTCTGCTTCTCCACATGGCACCCACAGGAACAATTTCTTAACTATTGCAGGGTTTCCTAAGGGAATGATAACTTTACTCTTGTTATCTGAAAGTCTGGTTTAGTTTTCCTTTAAAAAAAAAAATGCCCTTTTTTCTGCCTAGACTGTCACAGGGCACAGTTTGGCAATAATCCTGTTTCTCTAAGCCAGCCTCCTACTGCTAGGAACAAACGAGCACTGAGCCTCTAGCTGGCATTGGTGGTTGTAAACAGCACTGTCCCTTTTCCCTCTTTCCTAAGGTTTCATGCTAGTGTGTTCAGGGCAGATCACCTACCATCAGACAGGGAAGGGGGATTTGATCAGGAAACCTGCATGTTGAAAAGGCACATAGCCTCCCTTTTCAGTTTCTACTGTGTGCTGGATCCTAGAGTCTTGTTAACTTGCAGGTTCAAATTCAAGAGCTTTTCAGACGGTGAGAGTACATGGTTCCACAGTTTTAGAAAGTTTTCTAGACAGGCCAATTGGTCAGCTGTGGACCACCCTGGAGAACAAGACTTCAGTGGTTCCCAGACATTTTTGTAGACAGAAATGAGGCTCACTGTAGTGCTGGTGACTTCTAACTTTCTAAGTAATGGCACTGAAAACCAGCTGCCACTGTCTGTGACATCCTGTAAAAGAAAGGCCATGTCACAGTGAGAAATAGAAACAATACATTCTTCACAGTTGCTTACATTTGCTTCTGCTGGCAAAAGCAGGGTCCTGCTGGCAGCTTGCAGAACAGTCTGGCACCCATACATCCCTTTAGATACCATAGAACACTGTGAAATAACAGATGAGGAAACTGAGGCTAAGAGGTTACTCAATTGGGCATCATCATCTGGCAAGTTTTCTGCAGAGCTGAGCCTGGAACTCCTCTGAGCTTCCTGTCCAGCTGGTGTAAGTACTGTCCACACACCAGAGGTGGACAGCTGCCACAGCCACTGCCCTGGAATTCCCATGCTGCTCTGTTTACTTCTTTCCCACACTGATGCTAGTGGCAGGATGGAAAAGTGGCCACAGGCGATGATGACAGCAAGCATGGGCTGGCAAATGTTCTATTTTTATCAATGTGACTGCGTTATATTTAGCAGCTGTGGAAGGTAAAGGTCACTTTGTGCTTATCACATAGCAAGTGTACACAGGACTCTGCAGATGGGATGTTGTCCACCCTTCCACGTGACTGCCCAGGAGAGTGAGCAACTGCTAGACCTTCAGTATTAAGGACAGTGGGGACTTGATGACTAGAGTTGGGTAGAACGGTGGACTGTGAGCCTGGGGATTTCTGTTGTAGATGCAGGTGGTTTTCACTGTTATCTTGAGTAATCTGGGCCCCTTACCTGAACAAAGTCTTTTAACTTAATGCTAATTATTTTTAGAATTTCTCCATTACTCTGGAGCAGCCAGAATACTGCAGTGGCTAAGGCTGTTCTTTGAAGAAAAAGCTGGACCTAATAATCAAGGTTGCTAAGATTTCAAGTGTTATGTGTAAAAGGTCCTAAAGCAGGGCTAGCTGTTGGCAAGCTCTAAGGAGATGGGAACTGTCATATCTATGATTCTATCATATTTCTCTCAAAAAGTACCAAGTCTGGGATGGTATGAGGTCCTGTTCATATGAACTCAAAGGTGTTGAGAGGGTCAGAGTGATGAAATCACTTTGAGACAAGAAGGAAACTGCTAGAACACTTCGGCTGGCCCAAGTCCAGGTACACATTTGTAGATCGGGGGATGAGAGACATTTTGCCTGGATAATGGGGAGCTACATCATGTCCACTTCCTCAGCTGGCCATAATTTAGCATCTAAGCCCAGAGGACACGAAGTACCAGTATTTGGATCCTAATGAGTTATGCCAGGGCTTTTTGGTCTGACTTACATTGTATAAATCTTACTTATATTGTGTGTTCTTTTCTTTTATTACAGAGCAGCAAAAAAGACTCAGTAGTCTTTCAGGTAGGTGCAGAATCTATTTATTTACCTGCTAACCTTTGCCCCTTATCAAACCATTATTTAATCTTTCTAGTCTTCTGAGCTTCCCTATGTGTTAGTGACTGTGTTTGCTGCTGGACTACAGGGATAATGAAAACAGGAAGTTTCTGTACCCTAGAGTTCACAGGCTGGGGCACAGAGATCCATAAACCCACATAGGACATGTCTCCTGAGGAACAGTGAGATGTGCCAGGTGGTCAGACCAGACTGTTCTGTGCATAGTCAAAAGGGTCTCTGCTGAGGCGAGACTTCTGACAGGCCTCTGAAGAGGACACCATTGGTCTGTCTCTCTCCTAAGATAAGACAAATCAGGAGCTGGAAAATGTGGGAAGTTCTTTCCTCTTTTGGATGAAAAACCCAAACTGTCAGTAGATGGATGACCCTGGGTAGCAGGTCCAGATGAGAGCCCCCAGACCCACAGTAACTCAGAGTTGCCTCTTAAACTTGAGCTGGTATCAGTATCTCCTGGAAAGCCTGTTAAGGCTCAAGCTTCTGGGTCTCACTTTCAGAGATTCAGATTTAATGAGCAGGGGTGATAATTTGAATTTCCAACCAGCTTCTGTGAGTATTGGTGCTTCTCCCTCGCTGACTGCACCCTTGGGTAGCAAGTGATCAGCACAGTCTGTGACGGTGGAGTGACCATAAGTATAATTAGGTATCAGAGGCTCTCTCCCTAGGAGGGTGTGGAGAATGAGACAGTGTTGGGATGGGGAGGGCTGAGATTGTGAGGAAACCCAGCCTTGGAGATATTCCACCCTTCCCTGCTGCTTCTGGCAGCCATTCTATTTCCAACCCTGGTTTTCCTACTCACTCCTAGTGCTACCTTAGGTAAATCACCTGTATCTCTGGGCTTTGGTTTTCTTTTCTGTGGTGATAAGGAGGTATGGCCACGCTTCCTAGGACATTGTGAAGATCAAAGGAATTTCTGATAATAAGCAGCTGTACACTGAGCTTTGGAGCTAAGTGCTCACTGAATTTGTGTTGCTGTTGTCTGTAGGTGCTTCCATTGACTCACTAGACTTGTACTGCACTCTATTCGTGTCAGGCACAGAGCCAAACCCTAGGGCAACAGAAGGGAACCACGCTGCCCATCAGCAGCTAATGGTGTGGTGTGATGTTTGTCACAGTCCTCTGGTTGTGGACTCCTTGGGAGGATCTAATGAAAGCAGTTGATTCACTCTCTGGAAAAAGCCACATGTGTACAAAGGGGCATGTGGGGCAAAGACTCATGAGCTCCGGGGCTAAGAAGCCCTGATCTAGTCCATATCTGAAGACACCACTTTTTGAACAGCTGCTGCATGGTTTCTGAATGACTTTATCCTACTGCTGTTCTTGTGATTTGGGTGGAGCCTGGGTAGGGAGGACATGGGATTCTTACACCTCAATTTTATCAGAACTTGGCTACAGGACCGGGACAGGCTGTGGTTAAGATCAAGGTGCCCTTCACTGCCCCTCCTTGAGCCACCAGATTCCAGACCACTTCATTCCATGGGCCAGCTCAGGTGGCTGTGGACACACACACACACACACTCACACTCTCTTTCTCTCCCTCTTTCTCCCTGCCCATTGTGGCTTGAAAGGATTAGTGAAACAAATGGGGGGTGGTATCTGGCTATCTGTTAGGAGACCCAGATTTTGGCTTTGGCTCTCCCTTCACTGAACTTTGTCCCTGGGTAAGTGACTTCACTTCTCTGAGCCACAATTTCTTTGTGTCACAGTTTCTTCATGTGGGAAATGGAGGTGATAAGTCCTGGCCCTGCCTACAGGAGCCATTGTATAATGCAGGAATGAGGAGGATGCTGTGCATCCTGGGAGGTCGTCACTGTGCCCTTGCCCTCCATGAGTTTCAGGACAGATCCACTGATGTTCAGGAGCTCCTAATGAAGAGAGATGTCGAGGGTGGCATTCTCTAGTCTCTATGCTTTAGAGCAAGTAAGGTTCTGCCCCTCACCTATAGGTTTTAGACTCAAGAAGCACCATCTTCACTCCATTTAGCAGTCTTAATGAATCTCTGTGGTGTTAGTCAGACTTTTCATTACTGAGACCAAATACTTGACAAGAACAACTTAAGGGAGGAAAGATTTATGCTGCTCATGGGGATTCAGCCTGTCATGGCAGGGGGTGCCTGATGGAGCAGAGAGAGGCAGCAGCAGGAAGGAGCCAGGGCAGGACATAGCCTCTAGTGACATGCCTCCCTCAACCAGGCTGCAATTCCCAGAGCGTCTACAATTCAAACTCTGAGTCCATCAATGGATTAAATCATTGATAGGTTGGAGTCTTCATAATTTAATCATCTCTGAAAATGCCTTTTACAGGCACATCCAGAAATGTGCTTTACTAATATCCTAAGTGTTTCTCAATCCATTCAAGAGGAACCATCACAGAAAGTTATCTGGGGATGGAACCTAAGTGCTGTTTGACCTTGTGTGGTTCATGATCCCCTTGAGAAGATAAGAGCTGGGATTGCAGGGCTGACACAGGACAGAGAAGCCACTCTCCTCAGGGAAATATAAACATTGATTTAAGACTGTCTCAAAGCTTTAGGCATGAAGAAAATCTGTTTCACCTTCTACTCAGAGAGAAAGAGAGAGAGCCCTACCTGAGGTTGTCAAGATATTTTTAAATCTCAAGATATTTTTAAAGCACAATATAAAACTAAAAGGAAATGCCCTAGGACATGATATAAAAGATCAGAAGGTGTCACCAAGCCCTCATTGTAACATGAATGCAAAGGGTTGCTTGGTTCTTATGTAGAACAATTGTCACATTCGATTTTCTGCTATATCAAGTAAGACTTTCTTTGAAGGATGCAAATGAGCCTTCCATATACCAGAATCACATGATCACAAGCTTCTAAAGGAAAAAAAAAAGGCCAGGCGTGGTGGCACACGCCTTTAATTCCAGCACTTGGGAGGCAGAGGTGAGTTCAAGGCCAGCCTGGTCTACAAAGTGAGTTCCAGGTCAGCTGGGGCTACAGGGAGACCCTGTC